TGGGAAGAATATACTAAGCAACACAGACCCAAACTTATGCCTAGAACAGATTAACTGGGTGGCACTCGATGTATGCACAAGGCTTATTCCTCTAAGAAAAAGGAGGAGTAGATGAAAAATAGAAAGAGACAGGCGCTCCCTTTACAGGCGACGGAAAAGAATAACAGAGCGGTAAAAGAGGTCAATATATCAGAAAATGCGCGGGAGACACTGGTCAGAGAAATAGCAAGCATCGAACTTAAGCTAAAAGAATCCTTTAGGAGTCAGGAATCGCGGGAAGAACTAAAAGCCATAAATGAAATCGAAAGAAACCCAAAGTATTTCTTCTCCTATGCCAAATCAAAATCGAGAACAACGTCCAGTATTGGGCCCCTACTTAAACAAGATGGGTCCTACACAGATGACAGCAAGGAAATGAGTGAGCTACTCAGTCCCAATATGACTCAGTTTTTAGCAAGCCGCTAACCAGACTGAGAGTCGAAGATCAAAATGAATTTTTTATGAGAGAGCCACAAAATTTGATTAACACAAGCCTATCCGATGTTATCCTGACGCCAAATGACTTCGAACAGGCGATAAATGACATGCCCATGCACTCTGCCCCAGGGCCAGACTCATGGAACTCTGTGTTCATCAAGAACTGCAAGAAGCCCCTATCACGAGCCTTTTCCATCCTATGGAGAGGGAGCATGGACACGGGGGTCGTCCCTCAGTTACTAAAAACAACAGACATAGCCCCACTCCACAAAGGGGGCGTAAAGCAACAGCAAAGAACTACAGACCAATAGCACTAACATCCCATATCATAAAAATCTTTGAAAGGGTCCTAAGAAGCAAGATCACCACCCATCTAGAAACCCATCAGTTACACAACCCAGGGCAACATGGGTTTAGAACAGGTCGCTCCTGTCTGTCTCACTACTGGATCACTACGACAAGGTCCTAAATGCACTAGAAGACAAAAAGAATGCAGATGTAATTATATACAGACTTTGCAAAAGCCTTCGACAAGTGTGACCATGGCGTAATAGCGCACAAAATGCGCGCTAAAGGAATACAGGAAAGTTGGTCGATGGATCTATAATTTCCTCACTAACAGAACACAGAGAGTAGTCGTCAACAGAGTAAAGTCCGAGGCAGCTACGGTGAAAAGCTCTGTTCCACAAGGCACAGTACTAGCTCCCATCTGTTCCTCATCCCATATCCGACATAGACAAGGATGTCAGCCACAGCACCGTGTCTTCCTTTGCAGATGACACAAGAATCTGCACGGGACGCAGTGTCTTCCATTGCAACGACCACATGCAAGGTCCAGGCGGGAACATCAACACCAAATCTTTCAGTGGGTGCAGAAAACTAATATGAAGGTTAACGATCTCGCCCTCCAAACAGACAATCTCTGTCCTTGTCACAATCCTTTCTATCACAAGAGATGAGCTCAAACACGCGGAGGAAATTAAATCCCTCATCATCACAGAGTACTCAAACAAATTCTGGCACCAAATTCGAGATCCCAACACCAACGTCAACTCAGCGCTCCTCTGGCCGACGACAGCGAATGCTTCTCGCCTCTGAATGAGATCTGTCACTCACTCCATTCATCACGGACCTAAACATTGTATCAATCGCATCTGCTAGATATAAATGCAGGATGGATAATCCGAGAACCATCTCTAATACTAGGGCAGGCACAAAGACCATGATGTACCACTCTTCAGGGTCACTGTGTTCTATCTAGGCTGGAACTATTGCTGCACTCTAACAGCACCTTTCAAGGCAGGTGAAAATTCGCCTAGAAAATGTACAGAGAACTTTCACGGCGCGCCCATAACGGAGATAAAAAACTCAATTATGGGAGCGCTTGAGGTTTCTAAACTGTATTCCTGGAACGCAGGAGGGAGAGATACATGATTATATACAACCTGGGAAAATCCTAGAGGACATAGTACCGAACTTGAAAAACGAAAATCCACTCACTACGAAAGCAAAAGACTTGGCAGGTCGATGCCATCCCCCATGAAAGCGTGTGTCACTAGCACTTAAGAGACATACCAATACGTGTCTGGGGACCGAGAACTGTTCAACTGCTCCCAGCCACATAAGGTATTACCACACAGACCCTGGCAGTCTTCAAGTGGCAATGGACAAGCACCTAAAGTAAGTTCATGATCAGCCGGCTGTGGCCGTCGTTGTTTGCGTGCACGCAGCAAAACAGCCTGGTGGTCTGGCGGCTGATCCACAGGAGGCCTGGTCACAGCCGGGCCGCGGGGGGCGTTGACCCCCGAACTCTCTCCAGGTAAAACTCCAGAGTAAACATGAAATACCTTGATGTCAATTTTCCTTTTTTCAAGATTCATTGCATTGTGATTATATAAATCACAGGAAGCACTAAACCGTAGGAGTTTACAGCGCATTGTGGGGGATGGAAGGTATTCAGGGCTCAATTCGAGGAACTACAGCACAGATCCAATTCCTCGATCAAGAGCCCCTCACCAGCGTCAGGAACCTCCTTGAGGTTGTTTAACAATAAATTATTTCTAGACCTTTTTTTCGTGGATTTATCCACATGTGAACTTGGAGTTACTGGTGTTTACCTGGAGGAGAGTTTCGGGGAGTGGGTATCGCCCGGCGGGCCCGGTCTGTGACCAGGCCTCCTGGTGGATGGATCTGCGCCTGCTCAAACCAGGCTGTTGCTGCTGGCTGCACGCAAAACCAACGTACGAGCACGCCGGCTGATCAGGAACTGACTTTAGGTGCTTTAGGTGCTTGATAATCCACTATGTGTACCTTATTAGTAACTGAATCATGATTACAATCGACTTTCATGTTAATAAATAACCTGGTCCTTCCATGTCGACAAATTACTGATGGCCCTTGATGTAGCTGTAAAGCTCTACATAAGAACTTGTATCAAGAGCCACCTTGCTACTCTAGATACACATATGACCTTGATTCTCAGGAGCCTCTACACGGAACTTTGAGGACCTTGATTTAGAGAAAAAATACCTTTGTACTATTATTCTTTATTTACGAAAAAAATTATTATTTATACTAAGTATTCAAAAAAAATGCCAAAAGTAAGTGGTGTTGAAGAAGAGTAGTTTTGCTGGTGATAGTAATGGCGGTGGTGGTGGCAGAGACAGTTACATGTCCACAGCTCCAACACCCACCAGCCACCAGCTAGCTGACCCTGCAGTAGGTGGCGCGTATACACACATATACTGGCTGCCTCCCAGAGTACATTTTTCAATCAAGACAATACGAAAATATTTCTCTTCTTTTATTGGTAAAAAATGTATTTCCCATAACAAATAGTTATTTGTGAGGCCTCACAACCTTACTTTTTTACAATTACAAGTTTATAAAATAAATTAATGGTGAATTAGCAAATATTAATCCACAGAACACAAAAATATTGACAGAAAACTAATTTTCTTATCCAGGGAGAGAGAGGAAGGTAGCCTCTATATGGTGTTACCACTTAGTTTATTCTTCAAACACTATTTATAGTTTTATCTTAATTAATTTTAATAGTGTATTGCTGCTATCATCAGAATAACATAATGCCACACTCTATTACATCTGTCTCTCTATTGTTACTACAAAAATTACGAGTTCATTAGTGATTTTCTTAAATAACATCACTGGCACCTTGTCCTACTCTCTCAGCCTGACACCAGTGACGGCGCTACTGCGCATGCGTCCATTGTCTTACCTTGTTGAGTACTATGGTTTCAAAACAACTCTTGTCATTTAGGAAAATCTTTTATTCCTATAATCAACGTTTATATTTCCTTTCTCCTAAATTAATATACTCTTTCCTCAAACAAAAGTATTTATTTGTGTACAACAAATATATTACGACATGTATATTACTATTGCTAGTGTATATGCACTGTTCTCATCTGTTTTCATGGTTGTCCTGGCTGTGAGTACTTTTTGAATCAAGACAATTATTTATCTTCGTCTTTTTAAAAAGATTGATTGGGATGAAATGTACCTTGATGTCAGCAGTACCTTCATTATCAGGATCTTCTTCATGTACCTTGTTATTATTATTATTATAATCAAGGGGGAAGCGCTAAACCCGGAGGATTATACAGCGCCTGGGGGGGGGATGTGGAAGGCATTCAGGCTTAATTCGGGGAACTGGAGCACAGATCCAATTCCCTAAATCAAGAGCCCCTCACCAACATCAAGGAACCTTTCTTGAGGGGCATGTACCTTGTTGTCAGGATATCCTTGATCCTGAGGATCCTCTACATGTACCTTTAATTTACTCCAAAACCCTCTACATGAACCTTGATCCTCAGGATGTTAGGAGTACTGTGATCCTGACACCTTAATATGACCTTGATATAATTAGGACCTTGATTCTGAGAATCATCTATGTGAACCTTGATATTGAAATACATTGACATGCACCAGAGGATCCTCTACAAGTACCTTGATGTAGTAATATTTCATTGATGTTAGCTAGGCCCGTATACCTTGTGCATGTACTTATACAAATGAAGATATTATTATTATTATTATTATTATTATTATTATTATTATTATTATTATTATTATTATTATTATTATTATTATTATTATTATTATTATTATTATATATATTATTATTATTATTATTACATGTCCACAGGCCCGGTGGCCTGGTGGCTAAAGCTCCCGCTTCACACACGGAGGGCCCGGGTTCGATTCCCGGCGGGTGGAAATATTTCGACACGTTTCCTTACACCTATTGTCCTGTTCACCTAGCAGCAAATAGGTACCTGGGTGTTAGTCGACTGGTGTGGGTCGCATCCTGGGGGACAAGATTAAGGACCCCAATGGAAATAAGTTAGACAGTCCTCGATGACGCACTGACTTTCTTGGGTTATCCTGGGTGGCTAACCCTCCGGGGTTAAAAATCCGAACGAAATCTTATCTTATCTTATTAGCAAGCTCTCTGCCCTTAAATCTTTAACGGTTTTTTTGGGCAGCCGGTTATTGAACTTAGGTTGTGTCTAGGTGTCTGGCTCTGCTGGGGGTTAGTTAGGTGCTCCACCTGATCTAATTAGGAACTTTTAGTTCCTGTTTCTATTAACTTAGGAACTTTTGTTCTTTTTCTTTCCTGGTTCAGCTTTGTGCAACAAATCTTGCTGGTGTGATCGACAAGTTTGGCTGGATGATACAGCTCACCTCTTACTCACCCTTATAAACCCAACAAAGACAAACATCTCCTTGGACTAAACAACATTTTTCCTGCCAAAAACACAACAATGGCGAGTAATTTCCTACAATACCGCAAGTTTGCTGCAGAATGCGAGTCTGGGCAGCCACATAATGTTCTTGATGGAAAGTAAGTGTCTGAAAGGCAAGTTAAAGGCCATTTCAAGTAGTGGCCAGTAATTATTTCTAATATGTACCCCTCAAGGAAGGCTTCTTGACGCTGATGAGGGGCTCTTGATCTAGGGAATTGGATCTGTGCTCCAGTTGGATCTGTGCTCCAGTTGGATCTGTGCTCCAGTTCCCTGAATTAAGGAAGCCTGAATTAATGCTTTCCATCCCCCATTAGGCGCTGTATACTCTTACGGGTTTTAGTGCATCCCCTTGATTATAATTAAATAATTCTAATAAGTAATAATAATATTAATTTATTTCTAAAGAACAGATACAGACCACAGCTGGACATCAGTAACTTTGATACAGACCCACAGCTGACATCTGTAACATGAAACAGACCACAGCTGACATCAAGTAACATTGAAAAACAGACCACAGCTGACATCATTTAACCATGATACAGACCAACAGCTGACATCCGTAACTGATACAGTACCACAGAGCTGACATCAGTAACATGATACAGACCACAGCTGACATCAGTAACATGATACAGACCACCGCTAGACATCAGTAACAGATACAGAACCACAGCTGTCACAGTAAACATTGATACAGACCCACAGCTTGCCGATCATGACATTGATACAGACCCACAGCTTGACTTCAGTAACATGATTACAGACCACAGCCTGACATCAGTGACATGATACAGCCCACAGAGCTGACATCAGTGACATGATACAGACCCACAGCTAACATCAGTGACATGATACAGGACCACCAAAGCTGACATCCAGTAACATGATACAGACCACAGCAGACATCATGACATGGATACAGACGCACAGCTGAACATCAGTGACATGATACAGACCCACAAGACTGACATCAGTGACATGATAAACAGACCAACCAGCTGACATCAGTGACATTATACAGACCACATGCTGACATCAGTGACCATGATAACAGACCACAGCCGAGACCTCAGTGACATGATACAGACCCAACAGCGACATCAATGACATGGTGGGCTGCTATATAGAAATTGCCCTTCTTATGCAGAGCATTTCCCGTAAATTAAGCATGAGACCCACACCAGTACCTACACTCCACAGTGTGGCCCACACCAATCCGCTAACCATCCCATGGTATGACCCACACCATCGACCCAAAACACCCACAGTGTGACCCACCCTCTGTCACCTACCCACCCACAGTCTGTGGGCCCACACCTATCAGCTAACACCCATGGTTATAGACCCCCACCAGGCACCTAACACCCAGGGTGTGACCCACACAAATCAGCTAACACCAACAGGGTGTGACCCCACACCAATACACCTAACAACCAGGGGTGTGACCCCACACCAATCACCCTAACATCCAGGTTGTGGGACCGCACACCAACACCTAACACCCAGGGTATTGACCCAGCGACCCAATCGACCAAACACCCCAGGGTGGTGAACACACACCAACAGCTAACACCAGGGTGGACCCACACCAGTCACCAAAACCCACAGTGTAGGCCCAACACCAGTCACCTAACCCTGCAGGGTGGGTGTACCCACACCAATAAGCTAACACCCAGGGGTTATGACCCAACCAATCACCTAACACCTAGGGTGTGACCCACACCAATCCACTAATAACCAGAATGCAACCCACACCAGTCCATTAATAACCAGGATGTAACCAACGTCACTCCACTAAACCCCCAGCATCGACCAAACAACATTCACCAACACCCAGTTTGCAACCACACTAGTCCACTAATACCCAGGATTAAACCAAAATCAGCTCACTAATACCCAGGATCAAACCCAAATCAGCTCACTAATACCCAGGATGCACCCACAATAGTCCACTAACACCCAGGTACGGCTATTTTACTGCTAGGGTCATAAACTTGGACACAGGTGTCCTTAAGAGTGAAACACGTCCTAATGTTCCAGCAATACCCGCGATCTAGGCCCCCCCAGGCCTTCAGTGTGGAGGCCAATCAAGGGTGTTCTTGAGAATTAATAGAAAATAGCTTTATTAACAAAATAATTAAAGAACAAATATACAGTGTCACACTTACTTTCTTTTAAATTATTCATGTCAAAACCATATATGGTGTTGATAGCAGTTGGCCTAACCTGCATCAATTTCTTATAATTTTGGTGTCTTACTGCAAACCTACTGGTTCAACGAGAACCAACCAACTGCCAATTTTCTACAGTAATCAACATAGAAGAATAAAGACATTTTCGCCGAATAATGGATTATTGGCAAAATACCCACCAAGGGTACGTATTGACATACACGCTTGGTTTGGTTATTTTATGCCGATTTGTTATTCCTGTAGCTTTCTATGTTAACCCTTTGAGGGTCACAGGCCATCTCCGAAAACTCGTTCTCTGGGTCCGGGCGCAAATTTCCAAAAAAAAGAAAAAAGTTAATTTTTTACTTACAAAAAATAACAGTTTTTTTTTTTTCTAAACATTATAGGATAAACAAAAAAAATTTACCATCAATACTTACGGAATAGGGATGGCATGAATTTTGCAGAAAATGAGCTGCGTTATGGCAACAAGCGGCGACTGCCGCTAACCCGGTAAACTTTGATTTACTTGTATTTTGAATGTTTGTTGTTTTTTTCACTATTTCTTATTTTTTTCACAATAACTTATGTGGCCTATGAGACCAAAGTAAGGTGCAAATGTAACATAAACTGTATACACTCTGTTGTATACAACACAATAAGCACACAAACATAATTAACAATATTTGTTTACAAAAACGTTGTTTTAGCATAAAACAAACAAATACAAAACAATTGGTTTATTATGGTATTGTTCTATAATATAAATACCAAATATACAGTCCCACTGAACATATTCCTATTAGGTTTTTCCTGCAGCTTGTGAACTCTGAAAAACATGGAGCCATACACAATGTGTTTTTTATCTATCTCCCCATTCTATCTCCTTTCAATCTGTCTCTCTCTTTCTATCGACGTCTATCTCTGTCTCACAGGTACAAGCATAAAATTATACAATAATACATAGATAAATAAATTTACCTAGGATAACCCAAGAAACCCAGAACAAAGTGCTATACTCTCCTTGAAGATGTGAGTAAAAGTGATGATGCGTCTTGTGGCTCCTCTGATACAGAGAGCTAGATGGATATTACAGGGAGTCTTGATACAGAGCATGCGAAAAAGACAGCGTGTGACAGAGCTCATCATGTGTTTAGTATACCAAGCAAAAACAAAGGGAGGGTGCGATTTCATCTCATCTTTTGGCATCAGTGCTTTTCTACCCTCATTTGGACAGGCGTAGCATCTCATCAAACGTCAGCAACACGCTGGTGTATCGCAGATTACGTTATAGTCACGGTGTAGGTTCTCCCTTATTTGATTACTGTCGTACTGGATATGGGTGAACCATTTATGTATTACATATTATTATTATTACCTATATTATTATTATGTATTAATATTAATAAGTAATATTATATTATAGTTATTTATTATATGTATTATTATTATGTAATATTGTTATCATTACGGTATTCTTCTTCTTTCCCCTCCTCCTCTTGTCCTCCTCCTCCTCTTTCTTCCTCCTCCTCCTCCTCTCCTCCTGCCCTCCTCCTCCTCCTCGCTCCTCCTCCTCCTCCTCCTTCCTCTGCCTCCTCCTCCCTCCTTTGCCCTCTCCTCCTCCTCCTTGCCTCCTCCCTCCTCTGTCCTCCTCCTCCTCTGCCTCCTCCTCCTCCTGTCCGTACCTTCCATTCTTGGAACAAGTGTTGAAGAGCTTGTAAGTTTCAGAATCACTATCATTATCATCACCAATGGCTCACATCCTGAGTCTGGGATTTTGGGAAAATGAGGATGTTTCCTCTTTTGATTCTGGTACAAACTGAACGGACGGCCCGAGCACCAGGTGGAAGGCTGTGGGTTTTGTTCTGGGTTTTCCTCACTATTAAACCATAATTGATGGTCATTAGTTTCGGTCAAAACCGCACCAGAACCATAAACTCATTCTTCACCACTGTCACAGTCCATCTGTAATAGAACGTCCCCACTGTGGAAGCAATAGTGTCCAATGTCGCCGTAGGGAGTGAGGAACTTCTTACCGGGCAGGGCACGGTGGAAATTGTGTACTATTGAGAAGCATTCCCACCAATGCACCACTGGGTCCCAGAATTTTTTACCTACTACTGCTCACACCCACCAGCACAGACCCGAGATTCTCACACATCTAGCATATCAGCCTTTTTCCCCTGCGAAGATATTGAGGCCAGACTAGAATTATGCCGTACTAGTCCGTCATAAACCCCTAAACGCGTAAGAGGTAACTAGTACGGACCAAAACCCTCAAATGGATAATGTAGATAACTGTTATTGCTAACTAGACAGTATATAATGTAAAAAAACAACCCCAGTTTCCATATAATAGCAGCCCAGCTTTAAACAAGCAGGTTGATGTTTCCAACGGGGTACGTGATATAAAAAAAAAAAATTGGCTGAAACGTAGAAACAGCCGCTTTCCTCTTCCAGTGAATTAAGAGTCTGATAACAATTTACTAATAACCCAAAAAGAACTAGGTGTAATTAAAAAGCATATACACCCTCTACTCATTTTGTTTTGCGACATACCTCGTTTACCAATGCCTCAAACTCTATACAAGCTCTCTAACCAGTAGTTCGTAGACCTAAAAAATGTACAAGGTGCACCCCTTGGTATCGGACGGCGCTCCTGTCTATTTTTGCCAACTCAGTGATCGGCTTTGGTTTTTTGTTCTTTTCGGCTCCCGGGTGAATCGCCCATTACTTTGGTGTTGCGTCCTTACGACGCTTCCGTCCCACTGGCATGGGCTGCTTGCGTGTCAGTTTTGGCTGTCTTATTGCAGTGCGTGATGAAAGCCTCTGGCTCATACATGCCAAACATTATGCTTTCTTTCCATTGTTTTTATAGTGTTTTTTTTGGCAGTGCACCTGCAAAATAAATAACCATGTCTCCC